TAAGCATTACGTGTATCATCTAATTAATAGTTAACTGATATATTATTTAAATTAGTTATATTTTTAAGCAATAATTATAACCTTAAGAATAAAAAATTAGCCGATTTTAATTTTGATTCTTAAGACTTTATATTTTTCCTATTTATTTAGTCCTTGATTTTATTTAAATGCATAATTTTGTTGTAACATAATTTACGGTACATCTCAATAATCTATAATAGTTGAAGTAAAAAATATGTATTTCAAAAAAAAAAATCAAGACCATAATTTTTACAAGAACTAAAATTAAAATTATTTCATTTTCAATATAGGAAAACATATTTAGACATAAATATAATATTTATCATATAATTAGAAATGTTAGAAATTCTTTCTTTCTAACGCGTTTCTAGTGTTTGTGAAATTTATGTGGTTTCTGCGAGGAATGAACCCTCATAAATAATACTTAATAATATGTTGAAAAAAGCTTCATAAAAAAACTCGTTAATGTTCCTTTATAATTTAATGAGTTTAACACATTAAATTCAAAATATCACTTATGATCGAAACATGATTTTCAACCTTTTTGACAATGGCATGACCTTCAATTTAAATAAAATTAATACAATTTTATTTCAAGATATATTTAGTACGTTCATATTTCTTTATTTGACAGCAAAGTTGGTTTATATTCCTGAGAAGTGAGAAACATCATTCAAAATTTAAATAGTCTCTTAAAATTTAATGGCAAGTAACTCCGTACATATACGACTAATAGTTCAATTAATTTATAACCAATCATTAAACTTGATAAACACTTTTAGGACTTAATTTAGTGAGAAAATATTAGAATGTCATGATAGTTCACTCTTTTAGAGAGAGAACGTTTATGTTATAATGGAGGCCTATGAGTCAAGGGCCCAATCACTAGGGTTATGGTCAAGAGTATGAATGAAGAATGAGCCAATAATAAAAAAAAAAATTCGTAGTACTTTTTACTTGGATTGTGCACTAAAGCCTATGTAGAATAGGATTAGTCCATTGGGCTTGTAGTTCTTGTTTACGAGTCTTGTATTTTGACCAAGTAACATAAGATTTTGGGCCTTGTAATTTTTGGCCATTTTAGACTTAGGTTTAGTTAAGCACATGTGCCATCTCATTTAAATGTAATTTAGCTTGTATTTAGATGGCATTTGATCCATGTGACCGGCCAAGTGGAGTGGCGCACATAGCATGACTCAAATACCACTCAAATGTAAGCCAAATCACATATACATGAGACTTGCACATGGTCGGAACCAAAATTTGAATTTGAATTCAAATTTTGGTGTCTAAGGTTAACTTAAACCATAACATTATTTATTTAACCTTAGGTTAAGGTTAGCTTGTCCTACATACTTCCTAGGGCTGTATATTCCATATGGCCCTGAACTTGTAGTCACTTTGGACATTTGAATGAGGATTTCATCTTCTTTAAAATCCAAATTCTCTATAGCCGAAGTCATCAAGGAGAATTCCTTCTCCTCCTCGCCTTGAGCTTTCCTCTCTGTAGATCTAGGCTTTGAGCTTCTTCTACCTAAGAAGCTTAGTTCACCTTGGTTCTCATTTCACTCCTTCTTGACCGAATTCTTGCCTTGAAGAATTTCAAGAAGAAGTGTCTCAGATTCTCCATGAAGTTTAGGCTATTCAAGACTCCATCATGCTAATTTCATAGTCAAGTTTGATTAATTATTTAAATTTTGTTTAGATATGCAAATTAGAAATATTTTTAAGTTTTTTTTAATTAAAAAAACTTATTTTTAATAAAAAATTCTTAAAAGTAGTTTTTACTTATCGCAAAACCATATACTTAAATAATCTTCGAATCAACATACATATAGAATTTTGAATTTCCTTTTCAAGAATATAATTTTCCTTTTTGTCTAAAAAAAATATATTCACTCTAGTTCATGATTTAATAAACCATGATTAAATTGATAATAATTGATATAAATTTTCAATGTTATATAGTATTTTTTTTTTGACATAAGTTATATAATATGTTAAGTAAAATAAATAATAATTAAAGTTAAAATTTAAATTGACATAAAAGATCACATTATATATCATGAAAGACAAAAATTAATAACAAAAAATTAAATAACTATATATTAGTCACAAATCACAGTAAAGTAAATAAAGGATAGTTATTACAATTCAAAGTCACACATAACACATTACGTGAAACATCCAGACATACATTAGAGCATCTGTAATGTGGGTTGCTTATAAGCAATCTTTCTGCCACATCACTGCCACATTAACTATGACCCACTTTATGGGTTACTTAAATTTTATGAGTCAGAGTTGAGTTGATTTAACAGTGATGTGACACATGAGATTGCTTATAAGGAACCTCTATTGGAGATGCTCTTAGAAAATCTAAGAAAGGGACAAGTCATCCAATGACTTGCTGCCATGTTTATACTCCGGTCACTGTAATTTGACGTTAGATCTTTATTAAGATATAACAAAATATACTGTTGGTTAAGTTAAAAAAAAATGGTTCTAATCAATAAAATGCTATTTATTTTTTCGATTTCATACCGATTTGGCTGGTTTTCTTTTTAATCCAATTTTACAGGCCAAACATTGATTTGTCGTTTTTCTAATCGAACAAGTCAATTCTTTAAGGTTTTTAATCTATGCTTTCACAGTTCCACCACAACTTTTTATTTTGTTTTAAAAAGAAGTAACCACTCAAACTATATTACTTAATTATAAATGTTATTTTCAGCCTATAAAATAATTCAATCTCTATCACCTCATTACGTAGTTAATATCTATTCGTATTTATAAAACAATTTAGAAAATAGTACTCCATCCGTTCTGGGCCGTATTATAAAAAAATAAATCTTAAAATAAGTGTTGTATTAACTTTTTAGTAAAATTTTAATAAAATATTTTTAATTTATAAGACAATTTATAATTTTTATAAAATATTAATTTTATTTTTCATGTTTTGTCTCTATCAAAGATTGGGATAATATGTATTTTTTGTTATTAGATAATGAGAATAAATTTTGATAAATAAATATTCTTTTTTTTCCTCTTAAACTCTCTTGTTTATCAATTTTATTATTATTAATGTAACACTCCATTTGTCATGAAATATAATATAAGTATGTAATAAATATTTTTGGTATTTTATTTTAATTAATGGAGTTGTTTAATATTTTTTAAGTTAAAAGGCAATGTTGAATCTCTTAAAATTTTCAAATTTTAATGATAACAAATAGAATGTTTTTTTAAAATAAAATATTTTTGTGAAATACTGATTAGCAAAACATAAAATACAACTTATTAGAGAAACAATATGTTATCAAACAAAACATACAGTCTGTCATTATAAAGTCTTATATATTTATTGTTTATAATGACTAGCGGCTACTTTTTGTATGTCTAGGTGATTTTTTTAACAAATCCAACTAAGAAAACTCTTTGAAACTCAAATTTGTTAGAGAGAATAAAGACATGCTTTATGCCAAAACCAAGGACGAACAAATCCTATAAATCACAAGGAAAGTTAGCAAAAATTGATGTAGAACTTGTTTCTCGTTAACATATGCTACAAATAGTCTATTTGGTATTCTAAAGATGATAAATAATCTTTTTAATATAATAATAAATGACAATTTGGTGAAATATATTTAATACAAACATTAAATGCATCAATAAACATTTCTCATCTCAAAGAACTTATAACGAAGACAAACGAAACAAACTTAAGAAGAATTCAAGGTTTTGCAATAATCCTCTTCATCTGGACTACTATATAAGAAGATTCATGATCAGAAAATAATAAAAAAAACCTTTTTGCATACTTTTGCACTAAACATTAAAATTCTTTCATTCTTTCTGTAAAGCACTCTATGCTTAAACTCATTATATTATGTCTTATCTATAAAACGAAACAACTTTTGTAACATTACTATCATATATTATTTTTCTTCTATAATAATATAGGAAGAAAATATATATCTTCATGTCAACTTTTTAAAAATATCTATATCTCTTCTATTATATTTCAACATTTTTTGACTAATATACTACCTCTTATCCTTATTATAAGAAATAAGTTATAGTAAATATATTTTATACTATAACTTGTTTCTTATAAAATAAAAAATAAAAAGATTGGAAGCAGTATCTCTTAAAGATAAAATAGAGAGTGAAAGAGTCTACACATAAAATTAATTGCTCACTCTAGTGATGATTGATACTATTTGTCCACTTATTCTGTTCTCTTTGATGGTGGTATAAAGTGTCTTTTTGTATAAAATATTTTACGCCTTTTACTAACTTTATTAGCAAAAATAAAATTAGAATATACTATTAATAAAGCATACAAAAATTAAATTAAAAAATGTCTTTCAATTCTTTTAAAATAATTTTCAAGAGTTTAATTATAAGATAATAAAATGTACAAATAAATAAAAACAATAATACATGAACATCATTTTATAAATAAAAATAATATATATATATATATA